GTTTAGGGTTCAGGGTTTAGGCATTTCCTGGTAGACTCGACAAAAGTTACACCATGCAATGCCCCGATCCCAGGCTAAAATCCCAGCAACCTGCATTAGGCACGAGAACCGTGAATCCGAAACCTGAAGCCGAATGAATCCCTAAACTAAAGCCTAAGGTCTACAGTAACCCTTGTAGTAACCCCTGTTGGAACCCTGCCCCCCCCCCCCTTCTAGAAAGCCTCCAGAAGCGGTGTTACCGTGGCAGGCTCGAGGCGCGGTGGGGAAGACCTCAGAAGCGCAGGGGGTTTAGGGTTTAGGGGGACCTTCGTCTAACGGGATGTACACTCTCACAACTCGGAAGGCCAGGTGAGGATCCATAGGTTCGGGTCGCTGTGATACTATCGCTGAGCGTCCGTGACCACGACTATCCAGTTTGGAGTTTTGGGATCCAGGTTTAGGGTTTCGGGCTCTTTGCTTGTAGGGTCTAGGTTTAATGGACTTTAGGGTGCGACCCTCACTCTCAGCGCAGGCAAGGCTCTTTGGGGTTCAGGGTTGTAGAACTCAGGATTTAGAGCTTCAACCTAAACCATAAACCCTAAACCCGAAACCGGGGGTTTCGGCTCCTGGTTTCGAGTAGAAGCGGGTTCTGAGTGCAGAGTTTCGCCATCCTTCTGGGCTGAAGGCTTCACTTCATTGCTTAAGTCGGAGGTATAATGCTTCGTGGGTGCGAAGAGTTCTTGAGGATAGGGTTGGGAAGCAGGCCAATTTAGGGTTTCGGGCTCAGTTGGGATTTGGATGAATTAAAGCTTTAAACACGAAATGGATAGAGGTTGTTTTAGGCCTCTGGTTGAGAATATTGAGGGCTTTGAGGGCAAGTAACGCCTAGTTCGTGTTATGTTGCAAAGCCCAAATGTTGTAGCGATGCTCAGGTTAGCATTTGGCCTCGGGGTTCGTGCATCCTGGGCTTATATCGGTGAAGCCTAGGAGTGCTACTCCAGTAGTCGGGGGTGCAAGGGCTCATGCAGCAATATGTGAAACAGTGTTTCCATGAATGCAGCAATACAACTTTTGGCGCCATACATACACTGCCCCAACATCCTCGGGGGCGGTTGGGAGGATTTTCGGACGAAGGTTGACTTGCGGTGCCGGGGCTGTGTAAGGCCGCTTGAAACATTTCGGGACGTCGCTGTTAAGCCGGTTTGGTGTTTCAGATATCCTTTGCCGCTACTCTTTACCGCTACTCAGGGATGTTCGGAATTTTCGGCTTTGGGGCTACTTGGGGTTTACAGGCCGCAAGCTAGGCTAAGGTCCATAACGGCTGAATGTGAGTAGGGCCAAGGCGCTTTTGGGAGATTCAAGATCTCAGACTGGGCCCACGTATGGCGAATGTAAGGGCCAAAGCCAACTAGAATCGATTTCTGGACTGTGCCTTATAAACCCTAAACCCTAAACCCTAAACCCTAAACCCTAAACCGTTCTAAGGTCTGATGAACTTAAGGAGCCCCTAGACATTTTCATTGGTAACCGGTAGTTTTTCAGGCTTTTTTGAGGAATTGCAAGCTCAAGTGGTTTGGTGGATCTGAGGTCGGGTTTAGGGTTTAGGGTTTAGGGTTTAGGGTTTAGGTGCTACTTTTCCCGACCAATGGTCGTAAAGCCTTCATAATGTAAACCGCCTCATGCCAAAGGCAGACCCTCAACCTGAAGCCTAAACCCCAAACCCTAAACTAGATATAGTCTCCATTGTAGTTCCTTGTTGGGGATCCCTTATGGGATTCTAGACATAACATTGGTTTAACCCCCCAAAAAGGAGCTGCAATGGAGTCTCTGGGTAGAACCGAGTGCTCAAGGACATGCGGCTTGTGACCCCAAGACTCTCCTGTGTCCATCCCGCATCCCTCGACGCAGAACGGTAAAACTTAGAGTATACGGCCTATGCCCCAGCCCTGAAAACCTACCTTATTGCAGAGCCTACGAAAGTCCGTACAAGCAGCTCACCTGCAGTACTAAGTCTCCGAACGGTCGCTAGCAGGGATACAGTACACGAAGGTTTGCTGATGGCATCAAATATCGGAAGTCTGCCACCCAAAAGTTGAAGGGTCATAAGGTTGCTTCTGCGGCTTGGTGCGTCTATTTGCCTGCTTTTTGGAGAAGCCCCAAAAAGCAGAAGAGTGATATTTGCAATTACTTAGGCCTCCGGAATAAGAGTTTTGAGTGGTCCCTACCACACTTTCTGCACGACGACGGCCCTTTTTTTCGGAGAGTCTCTGTGCCACTGCGTCACAAGCACTGACGGCTCTGCGACTCTACGGCTGGACCTAT